AACAGACCTTTTGCATAGAATTGCCTGTATTTCTAAGAGAGCACAATAACGGCATGTATAGAGTGAGCGCCTACTTCTTGTCCAAGATATTGGCTGAGGTATGTTTGCCATACAATTTCTATTTATAAATCTATATAAATGTACAATTTTAATATTTACAATATTTATTATTTATACCTCAGTTGCCATCCTTTATGTTCAATCCATTACTATATCTCTCTATATTTTATTGGATGGTTGGCCTCAACAGCGGAATCAAAGAGTTTTTCATTTGTGTCGCTATTTGTCTATTAGTGGCCGACACTGCCTGTAGTTTCGGTAATAATACGATTGCTATTATAAAATTTATAAGACATAAGTTATGTCACATAACATTAACAAAGATTAATAATACATCAATTATTAGGATATTTGGTGTCGTGTATGAGCAGTGGCATAACAATGGCCCTGACAATTACACCGACCATCATAATGCCCATGATGATATTCGGTGGCTTTTTTCTAAATAATGAGTTAGTATTTAACAATTTATATGATATTCAGATTTTAATCTTTAATGATTGTATGTATGATCGCACCTATAGCTCAGTACCCGTGTATTTCGTGTGGTTTAAATACATTTCGTGGTTTTATTACGGCAACGAAGCCCTGTCTATAAACCAATGGAAAAGTATTGATCACATCGACTGCGAGTTTAAGATGCCTACAAACCAGACAATTATGACTCCCTGTATACCAAATGGCAAAGTAGTGATCGAGACGTTGAACTTCAATGAAGACCATTTGATCAGAAATATCCTGCTATTAGCGGTCCTCTCGTTTGTGGTCAGATTCTTGGCTTTTATTGCGCTTTGGATCCGCTCTTTGAAACGATAAATATTTTTATTTTTAGAAAATATTAATTTTTTATTTATTTAAATTACTTTGTAAATATTTTTTTAAAATTAATTATTCAAAGCACCTGTGATTTAGTGTAGAATTAGCCAGAATATTATGCATTACGTTATATGCTTTATACAGGGCAGTTATTTAGAAAGTTATTTATTTTCTGGTATTTTACTTAAAATTATAAAGACTACCGGTATTACTGTAATGACTATTCACATGAATACTATACATTAGTACAGTTATTTAATGTTTGTACTTAAAAGTTTATTTTAAAATATTATTTTATACAGTATTAGTTTATTAACCATAAATTGAGTTAAATTATTTGTCATGTTTTAGTTAATTTAAGTACTAAAATATACAATATTGTAATTAAGTTTCCTATAACCTAAAACATCCTTATATTTAAGATGTAAATAAATTTATATTCTGGAATATTATTATTAATACTAATAATTTAATAATTTTACTAATGACCTTTGTAATTACTAAATACATTGTTATAAGTTATAAATTTAATTTCTTTTACTGATGAAACGTAAATATAATATTTCTGAATAATAATACTGTATTAAATAATTGAATTATATAATAAAAATCTTTTACTATTAATATTTAAATGTATATTGTATTGTATGAAGGTAAACTATTAGCTGCACTAATACTGCACTAATTATATAATATAATAGATAAGAGTTTAACATTAGGTAAGCAAACAATTTGTTTAGTGCACATAGTATTCTATAAATTAATAATAATAATGCTTATATTTATGCTTATTTTGAATCACGTACATTACATACCTGTATAGATAAGCAACACCTAATACGATAACTCTACTATTATACACCCCATTACGAAATGATAGACTCAAGGTATCAAATTGAATCAAATCTAAACCATTAGAAATATTTCTTTAAAATTTTATATGTAATTAAAATATTTATTCGGAATTAATTTAACGGGGTGTAGTACTAAACCTTGAGTCATAAGTAATTGCACAAAATGACCCATAGACTGATCCCAACAATTAAGTCTTAAGCGCGCGATAAACAATCAATCAGATTTTGTGCAATTACTTATGACTCAAGGTTTATATTGCATAATATTACTTTTCTACCTATGGATTCACGTGAATTTGAGATAAGGTGTAATTATGACGTCAAATTGTTTGGAGTTTATGTTTAGTCTGTAAAATTCAAGTATATAAATATCACAGGATCTCACACCTCAATATTCATTGAATCTTACTTATGGCAATGATATTTTGAAAATTTTGATTTATAAATATTGTCAAAATGAGTCAAGAATTGGATCAAAGAGTAGACAATTTTTACAATCAAAAGCCTATTCTTCAAAACCTTGATAACCAATATATTATTAATACTGACCATCAGATTAAAGTTATGCCAATAACTGGCAAAATAAGTAGTGTTTCCCAACCGGTGTCCATATCGTGGCATAACATCAATGTCTTCAGTAAACCCTCGACTGGAATACGATTGCCGTTTAGAAAGAAAGACGATTCCAGTGTTCATATACTCAAGAATGGTATCAAAATTATTCAAATATCTAACTTTTGTCTTATTATAATTAATGTCAATTAATTATTTTAGTCAGCGGTCATGTAAATAGTGGACAGTTGTTGGCAATTATGGGATCTAGGTAAGAATTCATTTTTTATATAGGTTGTTTTATCAAATAAATTGGAAAGAAATTAAGAAAAAATTGTAAAACCTACATGTTTAAATTTTATTCTACATAAAAATCATATAATTAGCAAAATTATTTTTCAAATTGATAACTTAATAATTGAATACCAATTAAAGTATTAATACTGATGTTTGTGTGGACCCAATAGCGGCGCCGGCAAAACCACTCTAATGAATGTATTGACACAAAGAAATTTATCGGACGTTAAAGTGAACGGTTCGGTCAAATTGAACGGCAAAATCATGGACTATAATACCATTAAATCCCTGTCGGCTTACGTACAACAGGACGACATGTTTATCGCAAACATCACAGTTAGGGAGCACTTGAAGTTTCAGTCACGCGTTCGTATGGATCAGTCAACGACCCTTAAGTTTAGGGAAAGTCGTATTAATCAAGTCTTATTAGACGTAAGTTTACCATCACAATGTATTTTTAATCAATGTATTATCGCAATGTCCAATGTACAATGTACAATGTACAATCGCAATGTACAATGGATTATCTATTATAATTAATTAGTTGGGACTAAACAAATGCGCCGACACTATGATAGGAGCTCCGGAAGTGGAGAAAGGCATATCTGGTGGCGAAAGAAAGCGATTATCAATTGCTTCCGAAGTATTACATAAAATCATACATTAAATGAAGAAATTGTCTAAACTATAAAATTTACAAACAATTAGTTATTAACGGACCCATCGGTTATGTTTTGTGACGAACCGACCTCAGGGTTGGACTCATTCATGGCTCAGAACATAATGGATGTGATGAGAGAGATGGCAGCCTCGGGACGGACTA